CATGTCCTTTACAAATATATTTGTAAAGATATTTAACAACCTTTATATCAGAGCAAACTTCAACATTTATATGACAGTTGAATTTACCAAGTAAAAAAGGATTGTATGGAACAACCCAAGAGTTATCTAAATATTGCTCTCGTACTTTCACAACCTCTCCTGTGTTTCGTCTTTTATAGATGGAATAAGAATCACTTCCTTTTGATGTATGTTCAGCAAACTTTTTTGGATAATTAAACTTGAAAAGAACATTTTTTTTCATATAGGAATTTGTTGGATTCAGATTACCGCATGGACCGTGCATCATATGTTTAAGAACAAGCGAATGTAATTTTTTTATCCAAATTAGCATCTGGTAGTAGGGCTGTTCACGGTTTGACGAAAAATCGATCCAAACCGAAAACCAAACCAAACCGATTAAGTAAACCAATATTTTTTTTTATTTGGATTGGTTTTGGTTTTAAATTTTAAAAAACGATAATATTTGGTTTTGTTTTGGTTCTATTATAAAAAACCAAAAATTAAACCGAACCAAACCGATTAATTATATAAAAAATTTAATAATTATTTATATACAATATAATATCTTTTTCTAAATAATTTTAAATATTTTATGCAATTTAATTGTTATTTTGAATTTTTGTTTATCCTACTTATATCTTAAAAGATTGCCTAAGCCCAAAACAACAGGAATCAACCAATTTTTTTCCTTAAGAGACTTTAATTCTCTAACCCTCCGCACATACCTTTGCCTAACAGAAGAGTTAAAAAAAATCCTACCATAAGAGTAAAGAAATCAAACTCAAATTGCAAGACTACAATGGCAAAAGCTTGAGAAAGCAAACTTTTAGTTGTTTTTTTGTTCATTCTTTTCATATGAAGAGGTAAATAAACTTTCAATTCCGAAAGAAATATATAAAAAAGTATAAATTTAGCAAATTATTTTCAAATTATTGTCTAGTGTTGTTTCACTATTATCGACTTATTATTAGCTTACTACGAACCGAAAAACCAAACCAAACCAATGAAAACCAAACCGATGATTTGTATTTAATTTGGTTTGGTTTTGATTTTAAAATTTTAAAAACTGATTAAATTGGTTTGGTTTTGATTTTATCAAAAATCGATCAAACCGAACCGTGAACACCCCTATCTGGTAGTTCAGCACTAATAATTCCATCGTAAGCCTCCGATGTCAATAACTTATATCCATTAGCTAATATTATAAGGAAATGAGCATTTGGTAAACCTCGTTTTTTGGAATTCAACAGTATACATATAAGCAACAACTTTTCCAAAGTTATTTCTCTTGCTTATATCAGTTTTCAGTTCTTCAACTTTAGCCCTGAATACTCGACTAATTAAATCAGGTCTATTTTGCTCCTCATCAGTTGTCCACAGATGTTCTTTTATTTCTGGCCAAGTCGGATTACAAGTCATAGTTATAAACAAATCTGGTTTCCCAAAACATTTTACTAATGCAATTGCATCCATATATCGTTATCGCATATCTCTAGGTCCACCTATAAAAGAAGCTGAAAGGAATTTTTGCTTACCAATGTTAGAAGAATCTCGTTTGCCAAGTCTTAAAATATCTAGAAGTCCTTGCAATATATCCATTCTAAATAAATCTTGATTGAACGAAGCAAAATCCAATCTTTGGGTTTCAATTTTTATGTATTCGTCAACTGAATATTGCTGAAATAGTCTACTAGTGTGTAGTAACTCGTCTTTATCATCATTTCTCATTTGAGGTCTATAACAATAATATTCACGAGCAAAAACTGTATCTCTTTTTTCTTTCCTTTTTCTAAAGCTTGAGCTTCTATTTGAAGATATGAATCGAGAGAGCAAAGATTTCGTATGCTTGATAACTGTTCACATTCATGAGTATAACTTCCACGAATATTTTTTGCTTTAGGAATTTTTTTAATACCACAATGCCAGAATTTTGTCCATATGGAAACAACAAAGGATATTGTAAGGCATCATAACATCCGTAATAATAGTTCACAATTTGTGTTATGTTGCTATGAGTATAAATTTGAATATGTGGGGCATGAGTTATATTATTGTCATTGTCCTCAACCCATATTGCAGCAATTTCTGATGAAGTTGGCAAATTATATACTCGCTGATCTAAACCAGGATCACATTTGAGTCCAATATGGAAGTTCTGTAGCTCAGGAATATCTATCAAAGATCGGATAAAAAAGGAGTATGGGTTAACTTTCAACATGTCCATCAGTTCACTCACTATAGATTCATTGACTTTGTTAGAGCATGCCATTCTATTTGTTAACTCATTGTTGTTGTCATAAAAGTACAACGGTAGATTTTTTGGTTTTTTCCCTCCAGGATACAAATCATCTATTAGGTGATACATTCGTCCTTGAACTCTGAAAGTATAGATACCACGATTCCTTCACGCTAAGTCTGTATCATAATTTACACCAAGTGATGTAAATGCAAACGAATTATTATATGTTCTGATGTATGTTCGAAAGTGTTGGGATTTTTCGTTATTGTCGAAGTATAGATTATGAAGCTTAGCAAGCATTCGATGTGAAATTATTTTAACTGTACCAGTGCCACAACAAAATCTAGGAGATTCATATTCAAATCTTTTTGTAGAGCAGAATTTAGAGTTTTGAGTCTTTTTTAACGGTACGTAGTCTGACCGTAACTTAATATTCATAGTAGTTTTGTTATTTTGACTACGACCTGCATGTTCTAGAGTTTGTAAGGAGTGAAACAGTAAGCACAAAATGATATTATTCAAAGAAGACACAAATACAAACCTTTAGTTATCACTATCTCAGCTGTATCATTTTGTTCATTAGGTGCAACCGATGTTGAACGTACCACATAAGTAATTTTTTAATTAACATTAATATGTCTTGTATATTAGTGTAGACTTATGCCAAATTTCAGCAACTTGCCTTTCTCATAAGTGCAAAGAGGATTTCGTTTGTCGAAAGCAGGAAATGATTGAAGCAATATAACTTTACTCTCTACATAGTAAGCATAAGCGCAACAGATGTTTATAGTATTGAACTTAGACAGATATTCATGCAGACAAAGAAATTATATTTGTGGTAATAGTGAAACAGTTACTCATGTTGTATACAGTACGATATAGAATTAATATACTAACCTGTTTGGAAGTATAGCAGGAGTCCATTATATTAGGAATATACTGTAAATGTCCTGATGATGTTATATCAGTAGAGATGGTAGAAGTCATTCTGTCAAAGCGTCTACGTTGTAACACTTGACTTGTGAGCACTTCATGTAGTGCTAGTGCACTCTTTTTATTGGCCATCTTAACTTTATATTGTTCGCGTCGTCTAACATTCCTATCAAGACATTTCTTTTCATAGGGACGTTTGTTTGTTTGTTTGTCCAGAGTCCATAAATATTAAAATTTATTGCTCCCAAATATCTTTTGGTATAAAAGTTCTACAATTGTTAAACATTATAAAATCCATCATCAGGAAACAAATAACACTACAAGTCTACAACCATACTAAAACATAGTTGTTACAGTTGCTATTCAAATCAATTAAACTTTACCAAAATAAAAATGCAAATCAGGAGCTGAACAGTCACTTTGTGCAAAGTAAACTATAACTATTTCCATATTAAGAGCACACCAAAAATCTAAGAAGCACAAATTTTTAATCAAACAGTAGTAATTACATGAAACAACAAAAATACAAGCATGTTGACAATTAGAGCAAGAGAAGAAAACATGGCTAATACAAATAAGCAGAAATAAGCACAATGTAATAGTGTTTATATGTTGCAGAAGTTCATATTCTATCAGCAGAAAGAACACCGCAGAAAGGACAAATCAACAACACTACAAGACATTTGCTATACTCCCTATTCATATCAACCCGCTCAACACTCAGAGCAGTGAAGAAGGAACGACCTATGGCAAATTGAAGAATAAAATAATGCTGCTTTGTTCTTTCTCTGTTACATTAAATTTTTTCCAAGCAACATTTCTGATTAAGCATTCTTCACCCATCATCTCTATCCGAACAAACAAATTAACCAAAGAAAAAGAACAAAGCAATTAAAATTAAATATTTAATTTCCTTATATTATTCTACATATTGACTATGGACTAAATGTTATTATAGTTATGTAATATGATTGTTGTTTTCTTGCATTGTAGCTTACTTCATTCAACGAAAGAGAAATTCAGCAGAACTATGAAATTGTTATAAGAATACGATATCCCAAATTCACAATACCAAGGTTATCATAGAGAGATATAATTGTCTTAAGTTTCTCAATTTATTACTATAAATTTTTAGTTTGTTTTCTAACTCATTATCACTAATCTGGTTTCCTACATATTTCATTCTCTTTGATAGACTAATAATAAATATTCTCAGAACAATTCAATTGTGTTTTCCTCCAAAAAATGACCTCACTTTAGTTAAAGTCTTTTAAGTCTTTCATCTTGGCCAATATAGTCTATTCTCTGCTTCAAACTAATTCTTCATTGCATTGACTGGCTTCTATTTATAGTTTCCTCTTACTGGTAAATCAACATATTACTAATACTTTCTATTTTTTATATTAGTATTATAACTCCAATCTCAATATTGCACTCAATTTTTCAAACTTCTCTGAACACATAAATTTAACCCCAGCCAAACTTCTCTTACCTTCTGTCAGTTTCTTCGTTTTTTCACTGGCTAAGATTTAATTTTAACATGTATGCCCTATACTAAAACGATATTATAAGCAGAGTAGTTGAAACTTTTTTTTATTGATGAGGTAAGATTTTCTTAAACATAAAACAACATTGAGCTGATATTAAGAAATTACGAGCAGAGTAGTTGATACTTTGTTACATCAGCACACAGAACTTCACTAATATGACCACATCTGAGTTTCTAAAAACTATCTATGTACCATAAAAAACATAAACCATCAAATTTACCAAAGCTATGAATCGACAAAACAGACAATTTACAATATTTGTTTTTGGTAATTAACTTTTTTCATTACCAGGGAAGTATTTATAAGTAAATCAAAACCCTTACATATGATCCTGCTTTCCTATACTTCACCCCTCCCCATTTTCTTATTATTTACACATTTCTTATCTATTGCAACAGATACCAGTCTAGGCTATGTAGGATATTCTCTGTATGCCTACTACTTGGACAATGCAACTCTTGTATTATCTTCTTGCATATTAACTCCCACCCTTTTGTCTTAGCTTGGAAAGTTCGAGCATTCCTTTCTTGCCACAAATAGTATACTGTTGCTGCTAATACCATTTTATATAGCTCAGCTGCTGCTGTTTTCCTCTTAGTCCACTTCTCAGCCCATCTTAGTTCCTCATCCCATCTATTTACTGATCTTTTAATCCCTTGTCGTGCTAACAATATGCTCCATAATGCATTTGCATATGAGCATTCAAAGAACAAATGTTATATGGTTTTATTAGCTTGCTTGTATAGAACACATTCTTGATCCACTTGTACTCCCCAACTCTGTAGTCTATCTCTCGTGTATAATTTGCCATGTGCTGCCATAGTTAGAACAAAAGTCCACCTAGGGCATCCTGTGTTGTGACAAACGACTCTTCTCCAGCTGACTTTGTCAAATCTTCCTCGCAGTCTGTGGTATATGTCTTTTATCGAACAGTTGTTCATCTTTATAATATCATCATAGCTGAATCCTGCCTCCATAAATGTCTTCTTTGCTTTAATGATCTTACTTACTATCCAGGATGTTTGTTTCAGTTGAATTTCCTATATGTGTCTCTTTGATATAGTAATTGTACATCCATTGTATCCACAACTTCTTCTTTTCTTTACAAAGATTCCAGTATTGTTTACATATGGCAGCTTTGTTCCAGATGGCTATGTTTATAATGTTAAATCCCCCAGCTGATTTGGGTAGACAGACTTTCTCTCATGCCAATAGAGCCTTCTTTGAAATACTGCCTTCTCCTGTCCACAAGAAACTTCTACAGATTTCTTCAATTAGCTTTGTGATTTTTTTAGGGAGCACAAAGATTTGTGTCCAGTAGGTTTGGATAGAGAATAGAATACTCTTTATCAGTTGAATCCTTCCAGCATAGGATAGAAATTTGGCAGTCCATGAAGTGATTCTGCCCACTGTTTTATCAATTAGAGGTTGGCATTGTACTATGGATATTCTTTTTGAATTTAGTGGGGCACCTAGGTATCTTACTGGCAGTTCCCCTCTCTGAATTCCTAGGAATTTTAGGATTTCCTCCTGTGCATCTTGTGAGACCCCTCCAAAGAATATAGAACTCTTGTTTTTGTTAATCACCAGACCTGCAGCTTTTGAGAACTCCATAAAATAATGGAACAGTAGTTTAATTGACCCTATATCACCCCTGCAAAACAATAAAAGATCATCAGCAAAACCAAGTTGCAAAATTTGCATCTTTGCACACTTGGGATGATAGTTGAAGTCTGGGTTTTGATTTAGTGTCTTTAATCTCCTTGTTAAATATTCCATTGCCAGCACAAACAGGAATGGAGACATTGGGTCCCCTTTCCTCAACCCCTTCTTGGCTTCAAAAGGCTTTGTCAGAGCTCCATTAATCATAACTGTATATATAACAGTTTCCATACAAGCCATGATCCATCTCACAAATTGGTCTGGAAAGGCCAAAGCATTCAGCACCTGTTCCATGAAAGGCCATTCAATTGAGTCATCATACATCTAGGTGATACCCCTTTCCTTCCATATCCTTTCACTAGTTCATGGCTCAGGATAATGTTATCAGTAATTACTCTACCAAGCACAAATGCAGAATGTGTGTTGTCAATTAGTGTATCCATAACTCCTTGCAACCTCTTAGTTAATACCTTGGAAATCACTTTGTATAATACAGTGCAACATGAGATAGGTCTGTATTCTTTAACATTAGCAGGGTTCCTGACTTTAGGGACTAAAGTAATTGCTGTATAATTGGCAGGTCTGTACATATGAGCTATTTCAAAGAATTCCATTACAGCCTGTGTTATATCCTCTCCTACAATTTGCCAAGCTTTCTTAAAGAACATAGCATTAAACCCATCATAGCCTGGGGCTTTTAGGTCACTAATATCCTTAAGTGTTGCCCATACTTTTTCCTTGGTTACTGACTTGATAAGCTAAAGCTGTTGATCCCTATTTAATTTTGCACCCAGTTTCATGACATTTGGGTTGATAGCTGGAATACTTTCAGCTCTTGACCCCAGTAACTTCTTGTAGTACCATAATATTTCTGTTTCTATATCATCCTCCATTACAAGCTGAGTTCCCACATCATTTGTTAGACTCTGGATTCCATTACAATGGCTCTTATTCTTCATTTGTGCAAAGAAATAGGCTGAGTTTGAATCTCCCAGCTTCAACCATTGTACTCTAGATCTTTGTTTGTATATACTCTCTTCAATCTTTCCCCATTTTTCTAGTTCACACTTCAATGCTTTCTCTTTCTCAATCAGCTCTTTATTCTGTAGTCTAAAGCTCATTTTCTCTAGCACCGACTGTAGCTCCTTCCTAATCTCCTTTCTCCTTTCATCAACCCCTTTATAGTGCTGTATGTTTATTCTTTTGATTGCCTCATATGTACTTTTAAGATTGTTCCATACTACCTGCATTATCCCTTTTGTACTCCTTTATTTCCAAGCTATCTCAATTTGTTGCATGAATTGTGGGTGATCGGCAATGCAATTGAAAAATCTGAATGGCCTGCTCTTCTTTCCTTGTGCCTGAGTGATCACTAACTTTAGTGGTGAATGGTCAGATACTAGTGGCTCTAGGACCTGCACTTTCACATTTGGCATTGTCATCATCCAGTTGGCATTCACAAGCCCCCTGTCTATCCTACTATAAGTATGATGGTTAGTCCATGTGTAACTCCTTCCCACATATTGTAATTCATTCATCCCTGTGTCACTCATATACTCCTTGAAGTCTTTTGTTTCCATCTCTTGTACCTTAGATCCATATTGTCTATCTTGTGGATGTAAAACAACATTATAATCCCCCATAGCTAGCCAAGGACCTTGCTGAATACTATGAATCTGTCTCATCTTGCTCCATAGCTTCAATCTGTCTTTAATAGTATGTAGGCCATATATTGCTGAAAAGCTAAATGTGACTGCTTTTGAAATAAGTCTGATTTGACCATGTATCAATTGTTCATCTACTTCCACTGGTTCAAAGGTATATATCCTAGGGTCCCAAATTATCCATATTCTACTCTTATGACTTGCACTAGTGTTGGATGCCCATTTCCATCCAGGTGCAATCTTTTTGATCACCTCATTTGTTTTGTGCTCTTTTACTCTATGCTCCACTAATGCTATGACTGCTTTATTATTCCTTTTTATAAACTCCTTTACCTCTTTTTGCTTATATGTTTTATTCAACCCCCTAACATTCCATGTTATCACACTCATACAGGTATAAAGTAGGGATGGTGATACAGTTCCTGCACCTCTGGGCTCCTTATCTGCATTTTGCTTGTACCTGGCTCATCATGTGTTTGGTCCTTTGCCAAGCTTTGTAATCCATTGCTCCCAGCTAATTTCTGCTCCTCAAGCTGTTTAGCCTTAGCTCCCCTAGCTGTTGATTTTCCAAGGACTATTATCCACCCCTCATCCTTTTTTTGTGCATCTTTGTCTTTTGATTCTGGCTCTGACTGTTGAGTAGGCTCAGTTATTTCTGTTGTTCATTCACCTTCTTTTCATTTCAACTATCTCTATCTATTTTGAGCCAAACTTGCTTGTCGTTGATCACCTTCCGCTGTTGAATCATCCGTTGTGATTGTGCTGTTTTAATCTCAGCACAATCATGTCCTATTTTCAAACACTTTGTGCAGTATTTTGGCTCCCAATCATAAGTAACTTCCTGTAGGATTAACCTCCCCTTAGGGTCTTGTAGCTTCACAGACCTAGGTAGAGGTTTAGTGATATTCATTTCAATTAGCATTCTTGTATAAGAAATCCTAATTGAGCCAGTAGTGCATTCATCAGCATACACCGGATTCCCCAATGTACTACCTATCTTTCTTAATGCTTTCATACTCCAACAATTGATAGGTAGGTTAGGGAATCTCACCCATAAGGGAATAGTTTTCAGAACTTCATTTTGTACATTGAACTCTTCTGACCATGCTTTCATGATTATAGGCCTGTTGTTGACTGTGTGAGGTCCAAAATATAACACCTGGTTTTTTTCCTCCAAATTGCTAAATCTTATCACAAAATAACCTTCATTATGGTAATAGATCTGTGGCTTAACTGAAAACTTATCCACTGAGCTCAGGAATCTATCCATTGCTCCAATAGTAGGCGTTTCCCCAATTACATACATGACAATAACAGATCTCAATTTCTCAGTTTCTTGTTCAACATCTTCAATTTCTAATTTCGCTATTTTCTCGCCGTTTTGGACTATCGGAGCTATGAACTGTAAATTCATACCTTTCATGGCCAATTTGTTACCTACCACCATATTTGCCCGGGACTGATTCCTCTGTTCATTCCTTGTCTCACCATTTTCCGCACTGTCAACAGTACTTGAGCTGCATAGTACTGTTCCATTTTTGATCGGCTTCATTCCTCGTGTTTGAGCTTTCTCGCTACCAGATCCACCACCTACAGCTTGCACAGCTACAGGTGTAACATCAACTTCCTTCGATTTGCCTTTATCTATAGATGGATATGCTTCCTCCTTGATCAGCTCACTCTGTATGCTCCTAGGAGTACAATTTCCAGTTGGTTCTTCAATTCGTATCCCTTTGGTGATACAAACAATTCTAATACTGCATTTCTCGCTTCTGTTGATCGATGGTCGTTGATTGAGATCTTCATCTGGTTTTTCTTAGGTCTGCCTCTCCCTCCCATGGCTTCAAAGCGCACGTTAGCTAGGCCACGTTAACGTGCGCCGAGAGAGAATGTTAGAGAGAGAATTGACAATTTACAATATTACAACTACCAAAATGACCTTTATAAAATAACCAAAATTCCTAGCACCCATTACCCCAAAATGGATTTAGGAAACTCAAATTGGAATGAAGAAGCGAAAACCAATTTCAACAACCATTTTGATCTTCCCTTTAAAGAAATTGTCTTTTCAATTTTTTTTAATGAGAACCCAATTGAGAAAAAATCATTCTCTCTTATTTGCAAGTAATCTCAAACCCCCTAAGATCAGAACACCTGACAAAGATTCTCATGAGAACTCTTGATATTTTTCTCATTCCCTAGAATGACAGTGATAAGAAACAATACCAAAGCTCCACCCAAAAAGGGGGGGAAACACAGACGAAGAAATTGAGTACAAAATAAGACCCTTATGCAGAATTACTAACGCAAAATTATGAATGAAAGAAAGGAAAAAGTTATAGAAAATGTATACTCACCAGTTCACGGGTGTAGCAGCGAAGAACCCAGCGCCAGGTGATCTCAGCCTGAGTTTTTCCTTACTTCAATTTTTCACAAAGATAAGAACAAAGGAGTGAGAAAGTAGCACAGAGTTTCAGAGACAGTGCAAGCTAACTAAGTTGCAATAACTATCCTGTGAGATATTATTTGGTATAAGTTATCAACTTTAAGATTCTTACTTTTCCTAGGGGTCTGTTGAAATGCCAGAAAAGCATGTCATAGCCAGACAGACATGTTGATGACACAGATAGGTTAAAAAACCCAACTGCTGCTTCTAATATAAGAGAATTCCAAATATGGTAATATAAATCAAGAACAACTATACAATTTCCCAACAGTTATTTTTTTCAATTATTAATTTGATATTCCATGTCAAAAAAGATACCTATAATAATTATATTGTACACAGATCACGTTAGATACATCAAAGCTTGTACTACTCTTTATTGCAGTATTTATTTTCCAAATAAAGAATTATTATTTAAACTCAAAAGGAATGAGTAAGGTACAAAATTAAAATTTTGATTAATTCTTTGTCAATAAAAAAGAGACATACCATAACTGAATTATACACAAAAATTTAACTAAAGATACCTATTGTACACAAATAAGGTCAGATACAAAGCTTGTACTAAATAAATAATTTTTGTTGCAAATAAAAAAGAATGTGTAATATACTAAACGTATATTTCAATTGATTCCTTGTAAAAAAAAAAAAGATATCTACCATAATTGAGTTATAAACAAAAGGCTAACTAAATTATATTATTCTATATTAATATAGAATATAAATTTATGAGTGGATCAATAAATAGATATAATTATAGATATAGATACAAAATTACCCATAAATATAAATATTGACATATAGATTAGATTTGTCTAAGATCTATTTAAATTATGTATAAGATTAATTCAACTACTTTCATTAATTATGTTTCTATTTATAATTCATAATTATTAATGTTGTCTTAAAATTGCCAAGTGGCTTTATTTTAGCTTGCCACTTGACTTAACCTCATGCTTCACTACTCTCCTTTTAATATAATATAGATATAGATATATCTTTAATAACTTAAGTAAATTTTAATTTTATTTTATATTTTAACTTACTCCAATGTATAAATAGTCATAGGTTATCTCAATTACGTCTTTTTATATTTTTTTATTTTTTCCGATTAGAATTTTTAATTAATTTTTACCTCCATATCTCTATCTAAATATAGAAAAAAATCTATGGGTGAATCAATATAGATATAAATATACTTATAAATATAAATTTAAATGTAGATATATAAATTAAATTTGTCTAAGATCTATTTAGATTAAGTATAAGATTCATTAAACTACTTCCATTAATTATGTTTTTATTTATAATTCAAATTTTTAATGTTGTCTTAAAATTGCCATGTGGCTTCTTTTTAGCTTGCCACTTGGCTTAACCACATGCTTCACTCTCTCCTTTTAATATAACTAGTATCAGTACCCGCACGATGCGCAGACAAATCATTTTAAATTGCGATATAGGTTGTTTGAATCATGTACAAATAACCTTAAAATATAAACCTCTCAGATAAAAATTATATAACATGAGAATTTAATTATGAAACATGATATGAAATTATTGTTCAAATCTCATAGTGAACAACCAATCTTTTTAATATATTTGTAGCAACCTAACCCCTTGATTTTGGTACTTGTATTTCGTTCCGCTGTCGATATTAAAGAATACGAAACATGCCATATTGTGATCTATCTTGTTCGAGCACACTAGATCATATTATCTTAACAAAATTCTTATTATCACTTTATTTTTATCTGGAAGTCAAATATATCTTATTCATCACATCGCTTTTACATAAATTCTTTTTTTTTGTTCTTTTCTTATAGTTATTTTATTATTTAATATTTAATCATAATATTTTAATTATTTAAATTTATCATTAATATTTATAAATATAATTTAATTATTTTATTTTATCTATTTTTAAATTAATTTAAAGTATAAGTATCCTCACACTACCTCTATTTTTTTTATGTACATTCTCTTCCCTACTACAAATGTTAATTAGTTTTTATATTAATGTTTTACGTAGAGCCAAAATAATGTCATATTTTGTTTTAAATTGTAAGTTTTAATTAGTTTAAAACATTAATACATAAGTTATTTGATTATCATGTTCCAAATGTATTGGGTTCTCCTATAATTAATTTTGTATTAGATGCAGTTAAATTTTCTTTCTTTTTTAGCTATAAGATACAATTTAATTTTTAATTTTCATTAGTAAGATTACCAATATTAGAAATTTATTTTGTATTTTTAAAATTTTACTTAATCATAGAAAAAAATTTCTTAATTGTTTGAACACATTATTTGTAGTTATGGTAGTAATATTTTTATTGTTATTTTAGTTCTTTACATAATATTTTAAAAAACAAAAAATAATCTCATCTCAAATTCAAATAATTCTTATCATTCTATTTTCTAAATGGACCACATTTTTAAAAAGTTATGCTATGCATTCAAACTCAAACTAACTGCACTCGATTCAGATATTAATCATAGAAAAATATTTTCTTAATTGTTTGAACATATTATATCTAAATGTTGTAATAATATTTTCACTGTCATTTTATTTCTTTACATAAATTTTATTTCATTTTAGTTTTAAGATACAAATTTAATTTTTGTAAAATTACCTATATAAGAAATTTATTTTGTAATTTAAAAATTTTATTTTTTATTATTGTTTTATTTTTCATAAGTAAGATTTCAATTTTATGGTATTAACCATAATTTGAGCATTCACATTATAGTTTTAATAACTTTCTAATCTCAAATTCAAATAGTCTTTTCTTTTAATTTCTAATAGCAAATTTCTAATAATTTAACATAATTTTGCTATTTTTTAATCTAATATATAGTCTAATTACATTTTATGTGGCTTTTCGTTAACTTGTAAATTTATTTAATAACATTATCAACTACTTTTGTTTAATAATATAAGATAAATATATAATTTTTTTAATTATAAAATAAATATTTATTTTGTTTTAAAAACATTGCTTGAAAATTTTAAATTATTTAAAATTTAATAATATTTTTAAGTATTGTATATTATTTTATTTTATTTTCTAAACTTATGATTTATAAATGTCCTTAAATAATCTCTATTTTTTTTATTGTTCAATTATTTTAGTTTTTGATTTTAACTATTAGACTTGAGTTATGTGGACTTATATTATGACTTTTCTTAGTATAATATAAAAAAATTTCTCATCTCAAATTTAAATAAGTTTAACCTTTTTCCTATGATAAAAAACCTGAATTTTTATTTTTTCTCTATTTATTCTTTATTTTTGATTTTATATTATTCAATACCTAATATTATTACATTGTTATGTGAATTTTTATTAGCTTGTTTGAATTTAGTATCTATTTTTACCACACTCATTCTAATATAATATAGATAAAAATTTAAAAACTTTCTCATCTCAAATTCAAATAATTTTTATCATTCTATTTTCTTAATTGGACTATATTTTCAAAAAATTATGTTATGCTTTCAAATTTAAACTAACTGAACTTAATTCAAATATAATCATAGAAAAATATTTTCTTAATTGTTCGAACACATTATATCTAAATGTTTTAGTAATATTTACGTATAAAATATTCGTTTGCACGATTTATCTGTACTAATATGAATTTATTATTCTTATTATTAAAATATCTTTTGTTAATTATTTAATTTTTCTCTTACCTTATAAATAATTTGTATACTTTAAGTAAGATCTTATTTTTCTGCTTGAAATTATTTAATTTGTAAAATCAATAAATCCTTAATATCTTAAGTAAATTTTAGTTTTATTTTATATTTTAACTTACTCTAAAGTATAAATAGTCATATGTATCTCAATTTACGTCTTTATATATTTTTATTTTTTTCTATTATAGTTTTTAATTAATTTTTTACCTCAATATTTCTAGCTAATATAGAAAATAATCTATGAGTAGATCAATATATAAATATAAATATAGATATAGATATAGATATAGATACAAATATACATATAAATTTAATTATAGATATATAGATTAGATTTGTCTAAGATCTATTTAGATTATGTATAAGATTCATTAAACTACTTCCATTAATTATGTTTCTATATATAATTTTTAGTTATTAATGTTGTCCTAAAATTTCCAAGTGGCTTCATTTTAGCTTGCCACTTGGCTTAACCACAATGCATACTACTCTCCTTTTAATATAATATAGATATAGATAGATAAATAAGGTAAAAATATAGTTGAAGTTGAAGTCCTAAATATTAGGATTTCATACCTAGTTCAAATAAGGAAGAATTAGATACACAAAATATAATTAACTTTTAACTCCTAAATATTAGGAAAGTAATTTAAATGACTATTTTGTCCAATATGAAATTAACTTTTAAAGGGTAAAAAGGCGAACGACATTTTGTTAAGGGCCTTCGTGCTTTTAATGTAGTACTAGTTTTAGGGTACGCGCGTTGCTCGTGTACTTTCGCTTAATGAGTATAAATTTTTAAAGAAT